CGTGGGATTCGAACTCTAGACCTGCCGCTTGGGGGTGCAGCAACCCCACCACTTCACTAGGTCGCCACACCCTTCACTTTAGAAAGCTTTATTGAAGAAGAATTATATAAAAGATTAGGCTACATGAATTATAATATACAATCAAAAAAATTATATGCTACAAAGAAGCCTACAGCTAAAAAATCATCAAAATTAAATAAAAATTAATAGAAAAATTCTGTTCTATATGTGGAAAAGCTAGTTATACAAAAACAAATTGCCTTAAGGTTAAAAAAACTAAAAAGATTAATAATATTAGTAGCTCCCAATACATAGACCAAATCTAATTAGAAGATAATTTAGACTATATAAATAATAAAAGCACTCAAGAAGAAAGTAGCCAAGAAGAAAATGACCAAGAAAATAGCGAAATTGAATCTAAAAAAACTAATTGTTTTAATATAAAAAAAAAAATAGAGTTTCTAAGTCTTCTATAAAAAAGAAATCCAAAAAGTCAAAAACTAGCAAAAAAACTATTAATGAAAATCAGATATTTTTAGAGTTAGTTAAATATATATTAGCAAGATATATTTCTCAATATTCTAAAGAAATTTTAACTGAAATATATACAGATCTTAGCAAATTGTTTCTTGAAATAAAAGACTTATTTTATTTATGTCATTTAAAAAATAATACGAATAAAGAAGTAGACAAAGTATAGGAAAATATAATAAAAAAATATCAATTTATTTTAGAACTATTATTTCTCGCATGCTCAGAGAAAGATATACCATTATCTATAACTTCAAGCAATTATAATGAAAAGGTTGGAGGGGCCCTCTCTTTAAATTATACTATAAACCAATATTAGAAAGCCCAATTATATCGAAATTGGTATGACCTATTAAAAATAAACTTTTTGCAAATAAAAGAACCCAATAATTATGTCACTATTTCATGTAAAGTATATGATTTAGAAATACCTTATATATTACTTAATACAGGCTCAGATGGGTCTCATATTTCTGAAAATATCACCAATCATATTATAAAATACTTTGAATTAAAAATAGACAGAAAAAAGATTTATAGACTAATAGGTGCTGTAGAAGAAAAACAATTTATTGAGACCTTTTTTGATATATCTGTTACTATAGATATTGGCAATAATACCTTAACAATTTCTTCAGTTTTACTAACAAAAAAAGATAATAATGGTAATGATATATCATTATTTATTCTTGGCACTGGAGACAACATCGAGCTGGCTAGGAATCTATAGTAAAGGGTAAGTTTACAGCATCAGCTAATAGAAAAACTATTACTATTCCACTTTCTGTTTATAATATACTATCTTTCTGTATTCACAATTCCTGTTTAAAGTTAAAAAAAAAAAACTTGAATACTATTACTACCTTTTTGCTAGAGAAACAGAATATGCAAGAAAAAATAAAAGAGCTTGAAAAAGCATTATATTCTAGTATCTAATCAAATTTAGAAATTATAGGATATTATAATCACCTTTTTGCAATACTTGTTTAAAAGCAAAAAGTAGATAGATCTTAAATTGATTACTATAAAGACTGAATAATAGCCTGATCTAATGCTTTAATTTTTTCTATTTTTGAAGTAGTTCTTTTATACAAATTCAAGATATTTTTAGAAGATTTAGTAAATAAAATAGAATCAGACAAACAAACAGCCTTGGATCTTGATTTTTTACCTCCAGTTTTTTTTGACTTACTACTTGAACTAATATTCTCTTTTGAAGCTAGATTAGTAGATTTGTTAATTTTAGTAATATGTATCTTGTTTTCTAGTGCTGTAAAGACAAAATCAAACTTATTTTGACTTGGCTCTTTTTATTCTGTTTATTTATAATATCTGACTCAGTTTGTTCTATCTTACTAGTTTGGAAATCCTTATCCAAAACAGTCTGAAATGAAATAACCTCTTGCTAAAGGTGTTCTTTATTATTCATATTTCGTAAACATGCTTAGATCCAATATGAAATTTATCAGCCATTTTTTTTTGACATATTGGATATCCTATCTCTGGATTCTCTAATTTTCTTGATATTAGCTTCTGATAACAAAGTTGCTTTAGCATCATAAAATGTATCATGAATATGGGCTACCATCTTTACTAGATTTTATTTTATATACTAGAAAAAAAATATTAATAATCTTCAATAAATATCAATACGTATCAATGTATATATATTGATACTTTTCAATATGTATTAATATACAATATTTTAATATCTACTAATGTGTATTAATACTCTTCAATATATATTAATATCATCAGACAAAAACGCAACTCTCCCTGACGATCCCTCATACCAACTTCTCCAAAAAGGCTGACCTACGAAAACTATACAGTTAATATGTTTA